CGCACCAAACAGTGATCCGACAATCCAAGCGGGGCTTCGACGGAGATCACACAGTTGTCTGGGTGGGTGGTCAGCAGTGTTATGGAAGCACTTCCAGTATGTGGCACGTCTAGTGATCTTAAATCAGTGTAATTATATATCTGTGTTTAGGTCGCTATGGTAACTAGATGTTTATATATGGTTGTTGATTGTAACATAAAATATATTATTTTTTGCTAATTCTCTTTATTTCTCTTTAATATGGTAGCAGAGCGTTCGCGACCTCGGTAAATAGATAGTTTGTAAAGAACAAAGGTTCGGAGAGAGTGTAAACATGTCTACAAATGTAAAACTCGACATTCGACCGTTCGACGGAACTAACTGGACCACTTGGAAATTTCAAGTGTTGATGCTGTTGAGAACACACGCCAGAGCCTTGGAAGCGGTTCAAGGGACACTCACAAAGCCAACACATCCAAGTACCACTGCTACACCGGGAGCTATATCGACTTATAATGCAGAGTACGATGCTTATGAGCGAATCAATAGCACTGCATTTTTACTACTCACCACCAATATGACAGAGAAAATGCTCGCCAAAGTTATGCGTTTTACTACAGCTAAAGAAGCTTGGGATGAACTGAACCGGCTTTATGAAAGAGTATCGCAAGATCGCTTTTATGATGTCTGCATGCAATTCTTTGGATACAAGCTTGATCCTACTCACGATATGGGGACACACTTGACTACAGCAAAGAATTTATGGCATGAAGTAAATCTGATCTTAATGAAACAAGGTAAAACCGAACTACCAGAGATGTTGTTGATATGTAAAATTATGGATTCACTTCCTGAGGAGTACTTCAATTTTAAATCTAGTTGGGCCTTGATGTCAGTGAATGATCATACGATAGAGAACTTGACTACTCAGCTGTGCGCATATGAAAGGTCTTTAAAGAAAAATATAGATGAAGGTGAAAGTAGCAATGAACTTCTTATGGTACGAGGTGAGAAACGTAATGAGAAGCAAAGTAAGAAGAAAAAGTTCAAATGCAACTATTGTGGAGAAGGGTTTCACAAAGTCAGGTCATGTAAAAAGTGGATTGCGGATGGTAGACCTCCAAAACCTCAAAAGCAATCTACGAATGCAGTAATGTCGACAGGTCTAGCTCTAGCTTGCAATGATAAAAATCTTCATAAAGAATCATGGTACGTAGATAACGGCGCGACAAGTCACGTAACTAATAGGAGAGATGTATTTCAGTCTTTCGAGTACTTTCATGATCCTCATACAATTACGACTGCTAACGGGGACGGAATTGAAGCCATTGGCAAAGGTTCTATCCAACTTGAAGCTGATATAAATGGACAAAAACAGTTGATAACATTGACTAATGTATGGTATGTACCAAGTATACAACGATCATGTTGTATGAAGAATAATGGTAAAGTGATTTTAGTTGGAAATCGTGAGGAGCATGGTAGTTTATATAAATTAAATGTAAAACTATTAATGCCTAAAAATGAAGCAAACCAGTTATGGACGCTACAGAATCTTCAGCTGTATCATGAACGCTTAGGGCACCAAAATTGTCGTCATGTAGCTAAATTAATACAAAAAGAGCTTGGAATAAGGCTAGATTCCAGTTCTGCTGACATTTGTGAAGGCTGTTTCTTCGGCAAGAGCCACAGAAAGAAGTTCGGAGAAAGACCTAAAGCTACCAAACCTGGAGAGCTAATTGTCACAGACGTATGTGGACCATTTTCTTATTCAATTTCAAAATTTAAATATTATGTTCTGTTTAAAGATCAATACTCGAAATATCGTTGGATCTACTTTTTGAGACACAAGTCAGAGGTACACGCTCGCTTGAAGGAATTTCTAGCTGAAGTTAATACTTCTGGACACGTCATTCAAGGGTTGTTGAGCGATAATGGAGGAGAATTTGATAACGAACAGGTACGTAATACTTTGAAAGAATTTGGAATAAAGCAAATGTTGACAATGCCATATACTCCTGAACAAAATGGTTCTGCTGAAAGAGAGAATCGTACAATTGTGGAGATGTCAAGAGCACTTATGCATGCTCATAATGAGATACCAAAAGGTTTATGGGCTGAAATATCTAAAGCTGCAGTCTATATACTCAATAGAACGGGGCCAACTCCAGTAGATGGAAAGTCACCGCATGAGCTATGGTATAATAAAAAGCCAAAAATAAATCATCTCAGAATTATAGGATGCAATTGCTATGTACATATCCCAAAACAGAAAAGATTGAAAAAGTTAGAGAGTAAAGCCGAGAAAGGAATACTTATTGGGTATGATGGAGATGAAGGATATCGCGTTTACGATGTGAAAAATCTGAAATTGATGAGATCACGTGATGTAGTATTTGATGAGAAATCTTTACTAGAAAAACGCAAGATTGACAAACCTCCAGAAAAACCTAATGTAGAGCCAGTAGGAAATAAAACATATGTACTACCAATACCTTGTGCAAATTGTGGAACTCATTTAAATTCACCTATAGAGACAAATGGTAGGGATGAAAATATTAAATCGTTTAAAGAAGATAATGAAAGGGATGAAAATGAAATAGAGGCAACGATGGGGCGACAACTTCGTGATCGTAACCGAATTAAACTCCCTGAGAGATTCAATTTTGAGGAAGTTATTAATGAGGCTATATCTGTTTCTGAGTCATCTTTATACCAAAAAGTCTTAAACAGTCCTGAAAAGGATAAGTGGATTGAGGCAATGAATAAAGAAATAAATTCATCATATGAGAATGAGACATTAAAAATGACAGATTTGCTAAAGAACAGAAAAGGATTACAATGCAAATGGGTATTTAAAATTAAAAATTAATCTTAATATGCCTACTCTACGCATTGAGTCTACAGTCAAATAAGTACATAATCCATAAACTATACCATAAAGCAAAACACATAAAGCTGATACACTTCTATGTAAGACACTGTGTATGTGAAAGAGAATTTACTATTGAAGAAGTACCAACTGAAGAACAGCTTGCCGATATTCTTACGAAGCCTGTTTACAAGCCTAGGCTAATAAAGTTATATAATGAGTTTGGCTTGAAAAAGGAGAGGGAATGTTATGGAAGCACTTCCAGTATGTGGCACGTCTAGTGATCTTAAATCAGTGTAATTATATATCTGTGTTTAGGTCGCTATGGTAACTAGATGTTTATATATGGTTGTTGATTGTAACATAAAATATATTATTCTTTGCTAATTCTCTTTATTCTCTTTAATAAGCAGAAGGTCCAGCAGTGAAGGTGAATGGTCCAACACATCAGGGATTCGCGTAGGCGAGGAAACAAGCTGTGTCAGACCATAAGCCAAAGCAAAGTCATGAACAGATCTTCCCGCATAGTCGGTTGTACGCGAACCAAGCCATTCGGCATGGTGGGCATTAAAGTCGCCAACAATCACGACTTCAGCGGAAGGAATCTGCTCAAGCAGGGAATCTGTAGCCATTTGGACGTGCTCAATGAGTTGGTCGGTTTCAGTGTTACCGCTGTGGGACCTGTATAGGCACGCATAGATGCGGGGATGGTCATTGCAATCTACGCGCAGCCATAGAATGGACAGGTCCGTACCTTCAAGAGTCCCAAGGCGTCGACAGCAGATATCCTCTCTGACATACGCACATACACCGGCACGCGAAACAAAACAATGTTCAAGCTTATACCCCGGGTAGGTCAGGTATGATGTTTCGTTAGGAGGGGATATCTGTGTCTCCGTGAGGAAGAGCAATGCCGGCCGCGCCGTTTCTAGGTGGTGGTGGACAGCGTTCAGGTTTGAATGAATTCCCTAATATTACAGAGGCTCACATTGAGCAAAGGGGATGCCGCAGAAGTCTTGCTCTGTTTGCCCTTGGTCCCATAGAGCGGAATTTTGCCCCCCCCCGAATACGCAGGGCAGCCCGAGCGTGGTTGCTCGAGGGAGGATTCTCCAGCAACATGGCTGCTGGTACCTCCCTGGGGTACGTTATTTTTTTTAAATTCCACTGCCATGGTATTGAAAGATGGGGGGACGGAGTTGGGGGAGGATTTTAGGATAAGGAAAGGGATGGGTATAGGATGGGCCTCGGACTCCCTCACTCACCATACGGAATGTGGTCGCACTAAAAGTGCAGCCACTTAGCGTCGGTATTCTGTGAGGGTGTGGTACTTCCCCGGTCGAGCCGGCCCATTCATGCTGCAATACCATATGGTATTACAGCGTGGCTCTACCACCTACAAACTCTCATGTATGAAGGTGCAAAGTAACGAATATGCATTTATTTCTGATACTTGTAATATAATAAAAATTAATTATGCGCATTCAATAAAAAACAGGATTTTAAAACTAAAATGTTAGCATGATCTTTTACAGTAGTCTTCGGTCACAAGTTATTTGCATTCTAATGTTCCAAAACGTTCCCCTGTAAAGTGTATCTTTTTCAGTTTCGTAAGTTTACCATAAAGGTGACGATATATAACTACAAACACTATGTTAGCATAGTGGCCATTAGGTAAATATACAATGTTTACAACAACACATTATTTAATCAATAGCAATCAGCCTGTGTTCTGATGAGAACAAAGCTGTAATCACTCCATTTAGTTATAATACTTTCTAATGATTTATTTATCATCATCTAACAGTATTTTTTGTTTGCTGTTAATTACAATACGTATTTTTCCATCATTATAGTATTTATCTGTAATGTTAATGGCTCGTTAGTTTGATGGACAATTAATTCATATTTAATACTACATGATTAATATCGAAAAGTTATGTACAATATTTCATCACTGATTACTTAATAGAACCACATTTCGTATGAGAAATTAGCTGTTGCCCACGACATTTGTACATACGCGTGGATTTTAACCAATGAAATAACCGACGCGTGGTTGCCGTCGATAGTGCCTCTATCGATCGTCCATTTTACATTTCGGGGCCGATGACTAAATTTACGATTTTATCATTATATGCAATCATTACAGGCGCTGCGGTGCGAATGACAGCGCGTGCGCGGGCGCAGCGAGCGCTCTGCCCGCCACTCGCACGGCCGGCCCCCTGCGACGCTCCACTCCACTGGATTTCTGCCACATACCTGGTCGCATCAGCTGCTGCCTTCGGCAGGTCCAGGCACGCCGGCGCCCTCAGAACTTCGCCACAGGTTACCTATCTACACACCACCTATATCACTGTTCTTTTTACTTTCACTGGCACTCGACCAATGTCTTTTCAAACTTGCATATTTTTAATATTACTAGAGGATTCTTGTACTACTATTACATTTATAATATTAGTAGGCTAGAACTGTAAAATAATTTGTACGCGTATTTGCATTGCATTACACTCGTAAACGATTTGGTTAAACTCTCAAGTAGCACCTGCGTTAGTAGCTCGTGCTTGGAGAACACTCGAGTTCGAGTGCTACTACAGCACTCGGAGCGAGTATTCCAGTAATACAAACCGTGCTTTGCTCACGTCACTCGTAACGGCAGAAGTCATGTTGTTCTGTGATATTAATTGTTTACCATAGAAGAAAGTTTTTTGATAGCAATACGCAAAATTTATCTGCATTGGTACCTACGTGTGTGAATGGTCCGTTGGTCTTCAGAGACCACAACGCACAAGGGATATCGTGGGCATTACAGTCAATTCTGTGATGTCCATAGTTCTGTATACATTAATATTTCTAACGACAGTTAATATTTTTCATCAAAGTTCAGCCGTCAGCGTGTTCGCCTTTCCAAGTTATATTACAAATCATCAGAAAGTGGTTGAAGCAAGAAACATCCTCGTAGGTCAAGACAAAGGCTCTTTAGCTCTAAATTCTCTCTGCCTACCCCACAAGGATCTAGTGGAATATCTATTATCTGGTACTGTCAAATATGTAGGACTTTCAATATATATCAGTAAAATGTTTTAAACTATAAAAATACCCGTATATATTACAGTAACTTTCAAGTGGGATCACTTTTTTCCAACCAACAAAGAAGGGATGTTTTCAATATGGCGGACCCAACTTCTAAAGCTGATATGACTATACTTGAGTCAAATGTAAAATAAAAAAGGTGGATCTAATAACTTTATAGTGCCGAACTGGCGAAGCATATCTTAAACTCAATACCTAATAGCATTGTGTTCTTACGGTCAGAAAGGTCAAACCGGTTTCTGATTGGCAACGTGATTCTATCATGTAAGTTACTTGATGGAAGAGTCGCGGTGCCCACAGTAAATTTGTAAGAAATTAAAATATTTTTGTTATATACAATTACCATGAAATATTTTAACTACCTAAGTATATATTTTTTTTAATAGGTGATAATGGAATGGTAACCCCACCCGCGCTAACGGTATACACCGGGGGGGCACCAGTGAGGGATGATAGGTGAGGATGAAGCAGGTCAGTTAGCCCATCGTGACGAATTCAACAAGAATTGTTCACGATGGTTTCCAGGGGGAACTACGTGGAGGTCGACCTAATATATAGGCATATTGGTAGCAATGAGGCTGTCAAACTCCATTACTAACAATCCCTTTCCCCCCTACCTAAGTCTATTGTTATAATAATATAATGTGTATGTGGACAGCGCTGAAGTAAATGTATTGCGTGGCGGCCACTGCACCGAGCGGCCGATGGTCACGTGATGTCCGCAGGCCGGCGGTCCTCCGCGCTCGCACTCAGCGCCTGCACGCTACTTCTTCTCTTGCAATTAACATGCACCACCTCCGGAACAGGTATGTCTAATAACGTAAAATTCTAAAAGAGGTCCCGTCGACCGCTAGGCCGTGGGCGGTGGCCCATGGCAAACATGGCCTATGCCGCCTCTTAACCTTTAATTTGGTGAACTGCAAGCTCGTTTGTCATTCCGAGGGGCATACAAGAGCACTAAAATACTAATAGATACATTTAAACAGGGCTACAGGGTGGAGAAGATGACGACGAGTCGACAGTAATAGTGAGCGCGGTGTCGGCGGACGGCACGTGGGAGAGCGGCGAGGCGCTGGCGCAGTTCGCGGCGCTGAGGATGCGCGCGGCCGGCGTGCGGGCGCGCGCCGCGCCGCCGCCCGCCGCCTGCGCCGCGCCCGCGCCGCCCGCCGCGCCCGGCGCCGCCGCCTGCCTCACGGCCGCGCTGCGTGCGCTGGCCGGCGGCGCGCTGCACGCCGCGCTGCTGCCGGTGCCCGCCACCGGCGCGCCCGCGCCGCCCGAGCTACGCGACGGCGGCCTGGAGGAGCTCGGCGACGCCGCGCCGCCGTCGCGCCGCGCCTGCCTCGCCACGCGCCCGCCGCTGCGCTCGCTGCTGGACCTCGCCGATGAGAACGCCGCCGCCGCGTACCGCCTGCTGCCTGAACACCTCGCCCCTATTTCCGAGTGAGTATCTACATAATTAAATATTGTATTAAAAATGAGAATTTTATTTTATTCTTATTGGGTGCCTTATATTTTCATTTCAGAGTTTTCTGTGAATCTTCAAACTGCACAGTAGCGGAATTCACACCTCATCATTGTATTGAAAAAAATTCTACTTGCGCGACGATACTCACCAGTGATGACAGTGAAGTCAAAATACTGACTGACGTCATTAAAAAACGAAATTTGCATACTCGCGTGATCGGTTTTGGACCATACCTCGTGACTATCACTAAAGCTCTGGCCGCTCACCGGCCTGTTTTGGTGTGTGATCATGCTCCCGATCTCACCGAGCTGGCCTACCTTAACGCTACCCACCTCGGTCCCCCGCCCTGCGAAGCCGAGAGAGTATGCCCGTTTGAGCCACGGCGGCTCATTAAGCTCGTAAATGCTCGTTTATTAGCGCGATCTCCGAGCACCCTTCGCATCCTTGCACGCTTGCATCTCGATACTCAAGACTTGCGGGAACTCAGCATTCAAGCCCGCACTAGCGGACCTCAAGAAGCTGCTAAAGCTTACATTAATACGCGCCTTCAAGTGGTGTCACCGGGGGAAGTGCGCACTGCGGTGCTTTTACCTTCGAATACGTCGCGACAGGCGTACGACGCGAGGGCGCTAATTGCAGCTGCGACGCTCGCTGAGCAGGATCTCGAGGAAGAAAGCGCGCCCCAAGTTGCGCGATTCAAAACAGAACTGACAGATGATGGCTGCTCCGCTCCGCAGGCATACAAGTACTTGACAGACGCTCTCGGCACCGGCGAGTACGGAGCTTTGTCGGCCGTTGCAGGCCCGGCTTGTGGCGCGGCATTTGCCGACGTCGTACGGCTAAGTCCGGCGCATATGATGCCAGTGTTGGCGTACACCGCGCAGGCGCCGCCGCCGCCTCCCGCTGCTGAACTCACACTGCTAGCCGCTGGCGATGCGCGTCTTTACGCCGAAACATTTGCGTCCCTTTTAAAGCATTTTGGGTGGCGCCGACTAGCCGTCATCAGTGAACCGGCCACGCGAGCCTTCCTCGATGATACACGACTTCAAGCCGACATTATCGTACATGTTGAGTTGCCGGACAGTGGCACTGAAGTTCATGATGAGCTTATTAAACGGGTAATTTTTTTATTGTTTATTAATATCTATATTATTCTATTCTCCAATGCCTGATAATTTCTTAAAATATTAACTAGCAACAACTTTAAGAATTTGATTACAATATAAGAGCAAATCAGCTAACAAGTTCTCAAGACATTTTAAACATGCAGGCAATTTATTTATTGTTAAGTTGTAATTAATATACAGCAGCATTGTTCCTTTATCAGTACTAAAGAGTAGTCATCATCATTATCATATCAGCCTTAACTTTCCACTGTCCCTCCGTCGGGGGTTCTGTCAGTAGTTGTCACATTTGGCAGGCGAATTGATAATCGTAGTTAGGTTTTGGAGATGCTTTAGGAGAGATGCTACTGCCCATTCCTCGCCCTCCCTAAGTTGCCTCTTATGACATCTACAGGAATGGAACGAATGGCCTATTCCATGCCAGAACTACTCGGAAAGAGGAGTGGTGTATAATATTAAATTAAAGATAGTTCAACAGTGCATATACTACGCGGTTTAATTCTAATTATCCTGTGTAGCTTTCAATGAATCTTCATGAGCGATGATAATAGAATACTAGTACACTTTTATAACATAGTAGAGTAATAGCAGATAGCGTCTCGCCGTTTCCGCATACATAAAATAGGTATCAAGGAATTTATAATCCAGATCTTGGTCTAAACACGAGTAAACTGCGCCGGCAGTGGGCAGAGCGCGTGGCGAGCCTGAACGTGCGCGTGGTGTGGGCGTGCCTGGAGGACGCGCGCGCCGTGCGCGCGGCGCTGTGCGCGGGCGGCGCCGCGGGGCTGACGCCGGCCGCCGGCGCCGTGTGGCTGCTGCCCGGCGCGCTGCCGCCCGGCTGGCTGGCGCCCGCCGCCGCCGACCGCCACGCCTGCTCGCGCGCGCGCCTGCGCCGCCTCGCGCAGGGGCACGTGGCCGTGGCGCCGCGCTGGCAGGCCGACTGGGACGACGGCGGCCACCGCGACCGCGGCGCCGCCGCCTGGCAACACCGCTGGCGCGTGCGCTGCTGCGGCGCGGCCGGGACCGCCGCCTGCGCCGCGCCGGCCTGCGCCGCGCCCGGCGCTTCCGCCGCGCTGCTCTACGACACCATGCGACTGTGGGCCGGCGCCCTGCGACACGTGCTAACCGTCTACCCGGCCGCGCTCGACGACCTGCACCGGCCCGAACTAGTCAGGTGAGACCCGGGACCGTGCTGCACAACCCTGTTGCAGATTCCCCGTTCATTTAATTATTATAAGTCAAAACGACCAGGTCACAGTAAATAGTTCTAAAATTACACAGTAAATTTATCTTCTCCTGATTAAATCCATGTAAAACGAATATTAGTACCTCAAGAGCCGTTTACGTTTATTGATACTTTTTTTTTTACATTTACAGAATGCTGATCGAAAACGTTACAACTACCGAGTACGTCGGTCTGACGGGTCGTTTCGAGTGGACCTCGGCCGGTGGAGTTCGAGCACGCTCGTCGCCTTTGGTATTACGACAGTGGTCTAATGGTACGAGCCGGCGAGTCGGTAACTGGGAGAACGGCACGCTTACGATTGACGAAAATGCGCTGCGCTGGTACACCGCAGACGGTCGCCAGCCCGACGACGGTGGGGAACGATGCGGTATCCAGCCGCTCGCCGATTTTCTACATAGCGACTGCCGGGCGGCGTTTATAGTGCTCAGTTCGATTTTACTCGCATCGTTGATATGCTTACTAATCGGTGTCGCTTTACATTGCAAACGTCGCGCAGAAATGGAGTACCGAGCCCGTCTCGCGGCCCTGGATATGCGTACATTTGGCCTAAAACCGGGAGGTCTCGACCGGTGGGAAGTGCCCCGGGAACGCGTGGTCATAAATAGAAAGCTCGGTACGGGCGCGTTCGGAACCGTGTACGGCGGGCACGCCTTGCTTTCCGAGGACCGAGGCTGGACGGCCGTGGCCGTAAAGACGCTGAAGGCCGGCGCGACCACAGAGGAAAAACTCGACTTTCTCTCGGAAGCGGAAGCAATGAAGCGATTCGATCACAAGAATATAATTCGTTTGCTAGGCGTGGTCACGAAAACTGAACCAGTATGCACCGTGATGGAATTCATGCTGTACGGCGACTTGAAAAACTACCTCCTTGCTCGGCGGCACCTGGCATGCTCGGGCGGCGGCGGCGGTGGTGACAGCGGCGAGGCGGGGCAGGAGGCGGCCGAGGAGGTGTCGGCGCGACAGCTGACCAGCATGGCGCTGGACGCAGCGCGGGCGCTGTCGTACCTGGCGCAGCTGCGCTACGTGCACCGCGACGTAGCGGCGCGTAACTGCCTCGTCAGCGCACACCGCGTTCTTAAGCTTGCCGACTTTGGCATGACGCGCCTCGTCTTTGAAAACGACTACTACCGCTTCAGCCGCAAGGGGATGCTGCCGGTGCGCTGGATGGCGCCCGAGAGCCTCGCCCTCGGCGTCTTCTCGCCGGCCTCGGACGTCTGGTCCTTCGGCGTGCTGCTCTACGAAATCGTGACGTTCGGTTCGCTGCCGTTTCAAGGCTTGAGTAACAGCGAAGTACTGACTCGGGTCAAAGCCGGTCAGACTCTCGAACTACCGTCGGGGCTGAAGCCGCAGCTGTGAGTACAACATAAAACGGGGTCCGTATACGGTCGAGCAACTCGAGCCGTAAATATAGTTAAATATCATAAGATGGACGAGTCGCTCTATCATCATTTTATTTTTATTGAATAATGGCAAAAAATCGTGTTTAAACGGGCTGCTTGACCGACTACAGAGGCCTTTATAAATATTTTTAGTACCATTTAATTTTAAAATTATTTATTTATGTTACTTAGAAGCATACAGTTATCATTAGTAAACAGTATCTAGGAAATACAATTACTTGTAACTTCCTACATATTATAATGCATGCTGTATTATTCCTGGCCAAAAAATATAGTGCAGTGTAGTGGTAACTAAATTACCTATAAAAATAAAATCATTGTTGTACTACTATATTGCCTATTTTACGACGTTTTAGAATAATATTTTTTTTTTACAATATATTTCAAATAAGTATTAGTATAATATTTAAAAGCAAACTATGTCAATGCCAGGGAGGGCTTGATGAAGTCGTGCTGGCAGCAGGACTACAAGGCGCGGCCGAACGCGTCGGAGGTGGCGGCGTTCCTGGCGGACTCGCCGCGGCTGCTGGCGCCGTGCCTGGACGTGCCGCTCGACGCGCTGCCGCTGGACGGCGACGCGCCCTGGCCGCCCTGGCCGCCCTGGCGCCTGCCCGCCGACCGCGCAGAGGTGCCGCTCTCCTCATCCCATCCTACGCGTGCCACTTCTCTCGATACCCTGCTCGAATCATGCTAAGTACGACCGGAACACGTGCCCCGGTAGTTCACCTTCTGAATGTAACCCACGTGTTCTAAAATTGTTGACACCTAATTTTCCAAATCCGAATGCGTGAGGCCGACTCGGGAATTCTTTACACTGTCTCCCCGGGATCTCGGCCGCTTCAGTCCTAAATAACCTGACGGATACACTGACCACACATAACATTATTCAGCGTGTCATGTCATTGGAACTTTAAAGATTGACTTTAAATGTTATGTGTGCGTACGAGGCGCGCGAGTTTATAAGTTTGGTAAGTGGAGGCGTGGTGTCCGCAGGCGCGCTGGGTGTCGTGGGCGGCGCCGCCGTCGGCCGCCACCGACACCACGTACCTGAGCGCGGACGCGCCGCCGCCCGACGAGACGGACGCCTTCCTCGCCTGACGCCGCGGCCCCACGCTGCTGCGTCCGGCGCCCTGTGTTCATTTTCAATTGATCATTCCAAGATATTCTAGTCAATTCGCAAATGTTAGTGGTGAAGGTGGGTCGATACTGTACGAAATAAGTACATTTATTTGATAACTAATTAGTTAAATAAATTAAGCCAAACGTTGAAAATATGCTTTAGTATTATACAAATCATCGATGTAATAGGTATAAAACAAAAGAGTAGCTGATCACCTCGCTGATAGATTTAAAAGCATGAAATTTTAAACTGAACTTCCTATAGTAACGTAAGTACTAAAAAAAACAACTTAGGCCTCAGGAATGCCAACATGTCATACGTCGCTGTTCCTAGCATAAACAGTGTATCGTATGCTGTCCGTGTCTACGAGTAATAGAGATATCAGACGAGATAAATATCTTATTCACTGTTTAATATTTGTGTCAATATTCATACACAAATGCTTTAAAAGTGATGGTTCCCACTTTTCATCAGCTTGTTTATAACTTTAATTTATATAAAAAAATTTAATTATTTATTATAAGTAAGTTTTCGTATATAAAATCGAAAAAATAAATGATATCACATGTATCTTCCCACCTCACTGAACTTTAGTTAAACTTTGTAAATATTAATTATAAGTTAGTAAAAAATAAAATTTTAATAAAAATACAAATTGTATACTTGTTGTTTTTCTTACTAGATCCCTATTTACCATGATGACCATAGATGCAGTTGGACCTCATCCTGTCTTCATATCAAGGGGATAAATAATGGAAATTTGTAAAGAATTAACAGAAAAATTAAACTGAAAACCTCCTATTTTTAAAAACAGTTGATTTCAAATAGCAATGCGCGCAAGCGACCGGACTATCCTGTTTTAAAACTGACAGGCGCCTGAACATTATTTCTTACCACAAATAAGACCTCTTTTTCGAGAAAAAGCTTTCAACCGAATTAAAAAAAGATATTCTCAATTTAATTATATGATTAAATGCAATGCAAAGAGAGGGGTGTTATAAGTTTAACGTTCCTACGGGCCGAATATGTTGCGGTTATTTTTTGTTTGAAAGCTGACGTGTCCGAGATAATTCTTAGCTACAATTTATAAAGATCAGTTCAGGCGTTTCGGGTTACTTAATTTATTTTATGTTATTTGTTATTATTTAAAATAGTTTTTTTTTTTTGTGCAAGGTTGAGAATATTTTTAAATAATTTTATTTCAAGATATACATTCATTGCAATTTTCGTATAATGTAACGGTTTTGAAAGATCCCAATTCGTGTTGAACAGGCGATCGTAAGTCGATGTAAAACCCCGGTGAATGTACCCGGTGCCCCGCTGATAATCAGCGCTGTAGTCTATCCACTGCTGCACAATGCTGAGCTGCGACTCTTTTAACAAACGATAACATTCATTTCTGTATGTGTATGATGTATAGTGATAACTAGCCGCCTGCTGTTTTGTTAAATAAACGTTAATATTATTATATTTCTTCAAACTAAAATTCACATCTCCCTTCTAAAGGAGAGGATCTCCTCTCCTTTAGAAGGGATTAGTTTGCCATCTGGCAAACTAACCCCCGGCGGAAGCACAGTCGGCCATAGTTCAGAGCCCCAGGGAGAGAAACCGGCATATTTTGCGGGCAGTATCTAAGAGCACCGCTCTCTGCATCCTTCTCGAGAGTGAGCCGCCTCGGAATCCCAACTGTCTGAGGTGTTGTTCCAGAGTAGTCGAGATAAGACCTTTCACCGACAGAACGATTGTGATGATTTCGGTCGATGTCACTTCCCACATTTCGGTCACCTTGTGACCCAAGTCGAGACATTTTTCCTTCTTCTCGGTTTAGGCTTTCACGAGGTTCCCATCATGCAGTATAGTGACATCTACCAAAAACACTCTCGAGAGTGCCCGACCCATCACTACGATATCTTTTTTTCGCTAAGGAATACCGTTCCCCTAAATATTGAGTGCCAAATACATTTGGCTATTGGAATACCAAGTGTAATGATGAATATTATACATACGACTTACTTAACTATCGTGTTACTAGAAACCTCCCTCACTGGTTCTGCAGATTCAAAATCTCAAAATATTCTTTACTATTAAATCGATGATGCGCGCGGTTTGTATTATTTTTCAATAGGTAGGTAATTATTTTAAGATTTTGTCTCTGCTCCTTGGGTATTAAATTTCATTAGAACGTAAATACTATCATTGTATTAACCTAGAAAGGCGTGTGTAATTCAGCTAGATCGTAAACGAAATCAGGATTTAATCTCAAAGTCAAGATCTTTACGAACGTAGATGAAGCGAGAGATGTATTTCATGTAAATAAAAAGTAAAACTCTGCATACACTGGTGACCTAATAGTTTATATGCATAATTTGGTAATTTTGTTTTGGAAACCTTATTTATTGTTGTTATCGTTTAATAACATTCTTTACATAAATCTTAAAAATCAATATATGCTGTTTCATCTTTGTTTACGTGTACTGTAGTTGCATTACAAACTTACAATGCCATTAATATATTTATTATATTAGTAAAAGTTTTGTATGTTATTTGTTTATGTGGTACATAATAAGTAAATAAATAAAATGTGTATTTATAGTTGTCTACGAGTAGTTATAAACAAACAAATATAATAGTACCACAGCTACCGACGCGACGTCTAATTAACGATTAAACTGTATCCAATTTACAGGAAAATGATAACGTAACTGGAATTGTTATTACAGGCACCTATTTTGTTAAGAAACAAACGGTTAAAATAAATTAGCATAACCCAAAAAATGGTAATATGATTTCTTCGTGTTCTCAAATTACACAGACGAATTTTGATTATTTAATAAGTCTTGTCAGTTAGCTAAGCTGCATTGTTCTACAACATCAAACTTATAACTGTGCCTACGTTTATTCAAATAAATGATTGACTGATTGAAAGGGAAAATTAGATGCTTTAAAAAATAATATATTGAGACCAAAAGACATGTAACATTAACATATACATTCTAACAAGTCGACTGAAGGGTCAACGACCCTCTTCTGCTTACAGCTGTCAGATTTTTATCAATTAACAAATTTTAGTTATCAATTCGCCCACTAAAACAAAACAATACAATTTTTGGAAACGTCAAGACATCATATCTCAATGTTAGAGATTAGTCTAGAACTTTTCTATTATACAAAGACTTTTTAATTGTCTATGTAAATATATTACTTTGGCATGTAGTTGTTTTCCAAGTTACACCACTTTATAGTTGTGAGTCAGTTAGCAACATGCTTATTTGTTATGTAATTGTAAACCGCAGCTTTGCGCAGTAGGCTGGACATAGTGCGCAAGAAATATATAACAAATAATAATATAGTGTTTTTGGGCTCATTTATGAGCCGAGCCAGAGTTATTGTACTAGACAGTGGCATGCTGTGGTGTCGCCGGCAACATCGAATTCCGTGGGCGAAGGCGGTGCCACTGTACACACTGCTCGCGTTTGTTGTGCCAACCGACGCCGGCGCAGGGGCTTGTGAAATTTTAGACTTGCTTTACGCTAACAGTATGTATTATTAGACATATTATGGAGAAAAAATATTATCGCAAGCACCGGATTGGATCAGACGACGATAAGTTGACCAATCGTTCACAACCTACTAAATATTTCGCTAAAAAGTGCTTAGAGTCAACTGCAACCGTCGCGACGTATTTTTTTTTTTTTATTGGATGATAATGGAATGCTAACCCCGCCTGCGCTAACGGTATACGCTGGCGGAGCGTCAGTGATGGATGATAGGTGAGAATGAAAATGCAGGTCAGTTAGCCCATCGTGATGAATACACTTGGTGTTCAGCACGATGGTTGACCTGGCAGGGTATATTGCTAGCAATGGGACTGGTAGTCCCCGTTACTAAGAATCCTTCCCTCCCGTCGTGACGTATCATCGCAACTATCGAGATATCGTATTATTTTTGAGATCGGGTTCCGTCTCGTTCTTGAACAATTCAGGAAAAAATATCATATGTGTTCGTTGATGCAATTCAACAACAACTTACACTCTTAACAAATTATTATACTAAACAAACGTCGAAAGATTAAGAGAAGAACCTTAGATTATACAAATACAACATTTCCATCCACCCATGCCGTGCGAGCCGTGTGGTCCCCGCACAGAATAGGCCACCTTTCCTTTCCCGTGGGTGTCGTAAGAGGCGACTAAGGGAACTTAATAGTCGAAAGATGAGCAACAGCGTTCCGCTTAAAACATCAAACGCTTAATTGCGGTTGCCCACCAGCCTGCTGAGCGTGGCAACTACTGGCAACCCTCCTAACGACGTAACGGTTCCCATAAGGGTAGAAGGAGGAGGGATCCTCCTCCCACCCCTCATGGGTGAAGATTCCGCAGTAGACTAGACTTCCGTAGTAGTACCAGAGGAAGACTTTGTACAAAAGTCGATTGCTTGGGTACCTCTGTCCCATTCGTGTTTCAACCGTGAAGCAGCTGTTTGCATGGCTGTGTTTTGGTTTTAAGGGTGGGATATGGCGTCAATTTACTAGGTACAGAGGAATAACACCTGAGTCCTCAGGAATGGCAACGCATGGGGGGTATCATGGGCGAAACAGTATACTCTGTTATGTCCATGATACTGCTCATGTCTATAGGCGACGGTTACCACTTTCCATCAGGTGGACCGTTAGCTTGCTTGCCATTCTAAGTTGTATAAAAAAAAAGACTTAACGGTTGATAGTCAAATTGCAATACGAAGATGTTAGTTTAGTCGATAACATCAGTGCACGAGTGAGTCGTCTGTATTCAATCGTAGAGACACAACAGGCTGAGTGGTGCCCGGCGCTCCGAGCGGTGTCCGTGCAGGGGCGGCAGCGCGGCGTGTCGGTGTGGTGGGACGGGCGCGCGCCGAGCCGCGCCGCCGCCGCGCTGCTGCTGGCCGCGCTGCGCCACGGCCTGCGCTACCGCGGCCTGCGCCTGCGCCGCGCGCGCTCCTCCTTCTGCGATTTCGTTCGCCAACTACCCTATAACTGTGAAGACGACAATGGCGACTACGACGAGTGGGTACCAGCTTTCAAATTCATATGATCGTCATTACTACTAACAGTCAATTCATCATCTACCGCTGAACTCATCAACATCTCTCTTATATTTTCACGCAAAATATAATGTTGAGCTATTTGCGACTTAGAACATTTTTTAATTGATTAGTATTTGTCTATTGTGTAGTGTTGCAGTGATACCATCAGCGGTGCAATGCGATGCGATAAATATTTGCGAGGAGGCGGACGGCGTGTCGCGGCTGCGGCCGGTGGGCGCGGGTGCAGCGCCGGCCACACTGCACCTCCACGTCTATCTCGTGGAGCACGCTCGCAAACAACCGCTTTGCATGGACGCACTCCACTGGACTTTCTTTGAAAATTCGACTGCGATAGAACTCTGTTCGTTTCAAATGATAACCAATCATACGTAAGTCCGCCGTACAAAACCATTATTACCATTATTGATTACCGTTTCATAAACATGCAGATACCATAATGTCAGTTTTTAAGTTAAACTAGTATCTTCTCGGCTACGATACATTTTATCTTTAGAGTACAACGAACAGACAGTTATATTTACATCAATCCTAAGCTACCTACTAAGCAATCGTAAGCTACTTTCAATTTTATAATACTAGTGAGTAAATAAATTAATTAAAGGAAAATCTTTTTTTCTACAGTGCTCTACAGAAACATGCTGTTGTTTTCACATCAGAGGAATTAGTTACCCGAGCTCAAGAGTTAGCCGACATCATACCACTTTTAACGATAAAATCTTTACAAACAGAATCGCGTCACTTTTTATTTAATTTATTACGTAGTAATATGTCATTTCTCTTTTTGGACTATGATATATGGGCTGACGCACAAAATATTCAGATCGTTGAATCACCTCCCATATCATTGTTTGAACCCATCTGCACCCTGCGCTACACAAACGCCAAGCTACTTAAACAATTTGCACCGCAACTATATGAGGTCGCTCTTCACTTTGCACCCACCGCCAACGAATTGCGAATAGTTCTCGAACTTGAAGCTAATCATACTGATTCTAATATTACAGAGGCTGCCTGCAACTGGGCCATTAAAAATAAAGTTAAATTTGATTCGTGGCTTGAGACGGCGCGAAAGTTTAGACCCCAGTATTGGATAGCTGTGTTTATGTGCAAAGATTATGAAGACATTAAACAATATAAAAGAGTTGCACAACGAGTTATTAATGTAATAACTAGCAAACATACACGAATAAAGTTAAAACTCGAGGTCATAGAAGATATCGATTGCACATCTGAACACGATCTAAAAGTAAAATTATTGAAATTCCGAGAGCAATCTAAATGGACAGAAATGATAGGCGCATTAGCAACGGGTGCTGGAGTTAAAGGAGCAGCATACGTTGCTACGGAGATAGATACTGCTCTAGTATTATATGATACGCCGACACCAGACATAAATCCGGGAAATAGTACTCGAATCGTCGGCGGACTTCTAACGGACTTAGTTTTCGCCCTGCAACAAATCCTCCTTAATTGTAATTGGAGGCGTCTTGCGGTGCTCTCCGATGGCACACACCTTGCTTCCGTTTATATAGATACACTCCTTGAAAACAGCACATTGGCCATACGTAACATTACTCTAAAAATGAACACTTCTCTTTCTGAAATCCGAGATCACTTGCAAATATTACAAAAAGATAAAGCACGTATCTTTTTTGTGAACACAGACGCCAAGACTGCAACATTGATTTTATGTGAGGCACTCCATCTTGATATGACAAGAGATACTGGACATATTTGGATATTACGCGAGTGGCATGCGAAGAATTACACGTGTGTCGATTCTTCTAAGCAATACAAAGTAATGAAACATTTTACCATATCATATTGGTGGCGAGGAGGCACAATTAAAACTAACTACTTCAACGGCAATGATAATGAGATGCTACAAGCACTGAATGAATTGTGGGAAGAGGGGAGCGTTTGGCCACGGCTAGCTGCTCCTTTAGCTGATGGACTAATATTGCTGATAAACAGTTTCTATACTTTTGTTGAACGGTGCAATCGAAATCTTCAAGATCTACATGGTGATGGCACTACTGGGTATTCATTTTGATAATTTATTTTCTCTAAATAACCATTAATTCTTACTATGCCCGCGTGGTCCCGACATAAAATAGGCCCTTCCTTTCCCGTGGGTGTCGCAAGAAACGACTAATGAAGGGTGAAAAAAGGGCAGCAGCGTTCCTCTTAAAACATCTCTAAAGCCTACCAAGCATGACAACCACTGACAAAACGCCCTAAAGGGCCCTTATATTCAGCAGTGGACAATTACAGACTGATATGATGATATATCTTTATTTATTACTTTACTGATATGATCTTTAGTAACAATAACGTACTTATAACACTAATAAGAGATACCGTAGGATATTCTGTGATGCACAGATATTGTTAATGGTTAAGAAGTGGTGCAGCAGAGAAGGACCAAACCCGCCTGCCACGTTTGGCAACCGCAATTAGGCTTTGGAGATGTTTTCAAATAGGCGCTGCTGCCCATGCCTCGACAAGCTCCATTAGTCGCCTCTTATGACACCCACGGGATAGAAAGAGATGGCTTATTTTATGCCGAGATCACACGGCAGTATATCTTTATAATGCTTACATAATATTCATAATAATATCTCAATATTATTTGTTTTCATTACAGATTATTATGGACGAATCTGAACAAGCAAGTTTATGGAATTGCACAAGAACTACATCCAAAGAAATACACATATGTTAACCCGGTCATTTTTGTTGATGAGTGGCATGGCGCAGTGCGTCGTCCTATAGTTGCGTGGCAAATTGGCAAAGATCGCAACAATAGACGTAACGCCTGTTTTATATGTTCCGAAGAAACACTTTCGGATGGAAGCAAATATTGTCTAACTACAAGTTCTAATAAAGATGAATTTTCACCACACTGTCATGATAATGCATGGATCATAGCTACGGTTACATTTACATTCGGAGTGTTAGCATTATATAAGACACAAAGATTAAGAGCTACATTATTTAAACAAAGTATTTCACGTCCACTAGGAGCTAGAGAAAATGTATCCGCGCTTGCGGAATATCTCGTCGATCGCACAGCGTTAGAATTTCACCAAGACCTTGGATATGGACGATTTGGAAGAGTGCAGTTTGCAATTCTTCGTACTCCAAATCGATCGACTGTTGTTGTCGCTGTTAAGTCTTTACACGAGAACTCAGTACCGGCTGAAGAGACCGAATTTTTACGCGAAGCGTGTATCCTTGCCTCCCTCCGACATAAAAACGTGGTTCGGCTAATTGGTGTATGTGCCATGGATGGGCCCCCATTAGTGCTCATGGAACATGCATTTTTTGGCGATCTACTGAGATACTTACGTGAGCGTCGCCATCTCATCGAACATGTGCACGATGAAGTTCCCGAAGAGGCGACACATGTTTCCGCTCGCGCCCTCACGCGACTGGCCCGAGAAGCCTCATCGGCGCTTGCTTACTTAACGCAACGACGACTGGTGCACCGCGATGTGCGCGCCTCGAATTGTCTAATAGATGCTCGCCGATCACTGAAACTTGCAGACTTCGGGATGGCTCGGGAGACAACGAGTAAAGATGGAGTTGCTGAATATACCTGTCGACGTCGGGGCTTTTTCCCCGTACTTTGGATGGCACCAGAAAGTCTCGATCGCGGCGTTTTTTCCGCTGCGACTGACATATGGGCTCTTGGTGTATTGATACTCGAATTGGTGACACTGGGCAAGCGACCATATGGCGCTTGGCCACTTCAGCGGGTACTGCACTACGTCATAGCAGGAGGGAGACCGCCGCTGCCCCTTGACTCTTCTCTAAAAACGTAAGTTCCATTCTATAGAGTCTGAATTCATTGAATATATCATAATATAATCAAATTAGTCAAGCGAAAAAAGAAAGCGAAAACTTTATTAAGGGAAAAGAGAAACGATTATGAATGAGAATTTGCTCCCTTGTTGTAACTGTTGTACTTTATTACAGACGCGGATTGCTGCTGTCGTGTTGGCGCCGCGTAACAGACCATCGACCGACAGCAGCTGAAATAACAGCTTACCTCGAAGCGAACCCGCTCGCTTTGTCACCAGCATTAGAAACGGCGACATTATCCCTAGAAGATACAGTCATTGACAGATTTGACTTTATAGAAAAGGAGTAGAAAGTTAGTTAAAAGAATAGTCAGTTCTCTAGAACTTTATCTTATTAATATAATAAAATTGTAAATGGGCATTGTCTATACATGGAAGATATTAAAAAAAAGTATAAGAGGTTTTAAAAGGAGCAATATAAGCCAAAACAATAATTTTAAAATTTGTGTTTATTATTTATTTATATATATTATTTATACTGTTGCACCAAATTGAATGCGTTTTTTATTGTTTCATTGTATTCCTGAAGGTCTAACCTAAGAACTGGTGTATGTTTTATTTCGATACAAGAAGTAGAAGTAGTATATTATTTCTTTAGCATTCTTTCTTCTGTAATCCCCGCGTACAAAGTGGCGGTACAAAGTACAAATCATCCCCACAATCTAAATATGGTTGCCAAACCGTTTGTCAAGCGTGGCAATTATTGGCAAACCTCTCCAAGGTGGAGACCTATGTTAAGCAGTGGACAATCAACGGCTGATATCCATCATATCATATATACATATGGCATGGTATTTGGGATGAAGAAGAATTTAGGCCACTTGTTTATCCTAACCAGTCAACATGTCCCGCTTTCAGAGACGACATCGCGAGTACTAGGTATGTACCTAATTAATAAATTTGTCAAAACATTAATTTACTTACTGTATATTTTTCATGAAAATTAAAATATTTTGATGTTTAAATAATATTTCCTAAACATGTATAATTTATGTATGTAATAAAGCGCTATTATACGAAATAATACATTTTAAGCACGCTTTCATAGACAATTTATTTTACTTCGATAACGTTATATACACTTGCGGGACAGGTAATTTACAATGATATAATATAAATTATTTGCTACCTACTTAATTACTTCTGAAATAACTAGATTTTATGAATTCTAACTTTGTCTAACGCCAAAATTTCCATATACATATTACGAGTTACTTATATAGTGATTATTATAAGGAAAATTGAAATTCCTACATTATCCTTGTAGTTAAATAATAATATCACCTACTAGCAAACGACGCCATTATTAATTTAAAGTTATTTCATATAATGTAGTGGCTGTGACGGTAGCTGGTGAATGGACAACCTACCTACGTATAAACTGTTCATAATTATTAAATAAACGCTACGCTTCTTCATTGTATTGTATACATACAAATGAATATTATCAATAGTTACTGTCTCCGAAAGAAGTACTTTATCATTGCAGGATAACAGCAATAGGTATGTACTAAATTATTATTTTTACATCACTACATAGTATAAAACAAAGTCGCTGTCGTTGTCTGTCCGTCCCTATGTATGCTTAAATCTTTAAAACTACGCAACGGATTATGAAGCGGTTTTTTTAATAGATAGAATGATTCAAGAGGAAGGTTTATATGTGTAATACATGCATAATATTGTAGAGAAACGCTAATAAATTTAGAAACTTCTAATGTGATGTAATATAATGTGTACCCGCGCGAAGCCGGGGCGGGTCGCTAGTCGTTAATAAATTGAAACAAGTCAAAATGAATAGCACGTTATTTGAAGATTGTAAACATTATAATTTGCGGCTGTGGACATGGTACGTGCAATACTGAACCGAAAACGATGCTTTCTAAAGTTATTCTCTATTTGTGTGGTTATTGTCTATTTGTTTGTGTGTTGCAAACAAATAAATACAATGATGGACTGATTCCGATGTAATATTTACACCATATTAAACAAAACACAAGTCCACACATACGTTATGGAAAGTTCAATCAGATAAGTGTTAAAAAAATGCTGTGAGAATACGAAGTTTCATAATGACACCATGCTATGACAGTCACAGTATAAAGAACCAAATGTGATAATATTCAATCCGCGAAATTGAATACGAGTACGTATAGTAGGTTTTTTTTTTCTTTTTTTATACAACTTAGAATGGCAAACAAGCTAACGGCCCACCTGATGGGAAGTGGTAACCGTCGCCTATAGACATGAGTAGTACCATGGACAAAACAGAGTATACAGTTTCGCCCATGATACCCCCCATGAGTTGCCATTCCTGAGGACTTAGGTGTTATTCCTTTGTACACTGTAAATTCACGCCATATGCCACTCTTTAAACCGAAACACAGCCATGCAAACACAACTGCTTTACGGTTAAAACACAAATGAGTAGAGGTACTCAAGCAATCGACTTTTGTACAAAGTCTCCCTTTAGTACCTGTATCAGGACTCGGTTTCTTCAACCTCTCGTGGGCGAATATGTATATCTACATGTCTTCGTTCCTCCACGCTTTATGTATTTGAACATTCGTTTCGTGTGCGTATACAAATTTGATCTTGAAAATATATTTAATTAAAATTGTTTGAAATTTACTGGTTTTCTTAACTCGCGTAAATGATACGTGGATATATAAGACACCGATTTGTTTACAAAAATTTTGATTGTATGCCTATTGCTAGATATACTAATAAGGTAGGCCGAAAGTAGTTTTTTCACAGTTTGACTGAAATAGTTTAGCCACTGATCGTAGTTCAATAAACTTCGAGGAATAACTAATTCATCACAAATAAATCGGAACACTAAATCACAATTAAATATACACCAGTACTTGGAAAGAGGGCAACCAAGAAGAGATGTAAAGGAGAGAAAATAACATGTATATGTACTGAGATTGACAATAATATAATGTATAATGAAAATTGGTAAATCGATCAATATCCACAGCATGCGGCGATGAGCGGCCGCATGTCGTCCGGGCGGCTGCTCGTCGTCCTCGCCACCGCCGCCGTCTCCGCGGCCGTCGCCGCTCCCCACACCGACACCGACTACTGCCATCAACTCGATGTCAAACTTAACAATGGTAACAGCTTATGAATTATGCTATTTGTGTTATACTAATCGAAATGACAAATAAACGGACAATCTAAATAATAAAAATTGATATTGAACCGTCTCCTATGAACATATAAACAGAGGGAGGGATTGTTAATAATGGAAACTAAGGGCTCCATTGGTAGCAATATACCCAAACAGGTCGACCTCCACGTGGTCCCCCCTAGAAACCATCGTGCTGAATTGCAAGTGTATTCAACACGATGAGCTAACTGACCTGTCTTTTCGTCCCCACCAATCATCAGTCACTGGTGCCCCGCCAGTGTATACCGATAACGCAGGCCGCAGGCGGGATTACTATTCCATCATCACCCTTTAAAAAAAAAAACATATAAACAGCACCGTGTACCTACATCGTTGGATAACGCACCGCGCGTAGACATTCCTGATAACAAACATGTTACGCCGCCGGCGCCGTGCCCTGTAACTACGCTCCCATACCATACCATCTTTCAAAGCGAAAGTTTAATATTTCAGCCTAAAAGATGGTTTTTATATTAAAAGTGAAATAAATTTTACAAGCCGTTCATTTTAAAATCTTAGAGAATATTACTACAGTATCTACTTTCCCATTCACCAAAATACCAGCCTTACTAAAATATGTTGAACAGTTTAACAAGTTACACAAACAAACATTGCACCCGTGCGAAGCCGGGGTGGCTCGCTAGTATCCCATAAATTATTAATTTTGTCGCAATTATTTAAAGTCGCTCTGCTCTTGCAATCAAAAGTGCACTGGGTGTTGTTTTGACTGGAACAAATCAATGGTTTACTGTGTAGAGCTGGGGGGCGGGCGGGCCGAGCGGGCCGGGCGGCGCGTGCTGGTGCAGGGGCGGCAGCGCGGCGTGTCGGTGTGGTGGGACGGGCGCGCGCCGAGCCGCGCCGCCGCCGCGCTGCTGCTGGCCGCGCTGCGCCACGGCCTGCGCTACCGCGGCCTGCGCCTGCGCCGCGCGCGCTCGCTCCACCACATCGCCCACACGTACTATCATTACCTACTTGTTTATCTTTGCTATGGACATCCAGCGAATACTAAACAGCTTGCCAGGAAACTCCTACAAAAACATTGTATCTAGTCTAACGAGAGTTGACATGTATATAAGGAAGGAAAATATAATGTAGCGAATTTCGATCTTTTTCATTCATTCTTAAAAACGATAATAATAAATAATTTTTATGCAAGTAAACTTAATAATAAACATTTTTGAATAGTCATTCTTTTATGAAACTACCGTCCACTTCGGACTGCGATTTCAGCTGGAAACAATAACTGTGTTTCTTACACAGCATTTTTTAAATATAAGTTAAAAATAAAAAAAAAAAATTATGAATGAATAAAATAACTATCACAAACTTCGTATTTATAAAAAGAAAGGAAATAATAAGCTACCAAGCTACGATCGATCACAGTATTCTTAATCAGACCAGTATGACGGATGAGCCAGCCGTCGTTGTGTTCAACCATATTATGGGGAGCCCAACAACCCAGCCCACCACGCCGCCACCTATCTGGACATTAAAGTGAACACGACTTGTTTCAAAATACGCAATTACGGCAATAGTATCGATACCAAATTGAATGTGACAATCAGTATACTCACTCATTACAAAATTAAAATGTTATTTAGTAGAGTTTATTAAAAAATCTGGCACAATTTGCTATAAATGAATTACCAACCTTTTTCTGTCAACACAGTAGCAACGGTAATTTGTCCTTATGGCGTAAGTTTTTATTATTATAGTCAGTTACTTTGGTAAAAGATTTAAAGTTTTTCCTTACATTATGTTTTCAAAAATGTATTGAGAGCAACTGTAAGGATATTTGTCTATTTAAAACATTCTCGAACAGATTCTTTTGAACCCATATTATAAATAGAACGTAGGACTCTTTTTTTGTAATACAAATATATTTATTTATTTATTATATCAAATATAGTGTGTATATCTGCATTTTTATATAGTTTTATATGCATACCATAATGATGTACTCCACCGTAGTGATGCCAAGAAATGTGGTATCATTAACAAAATCTAATTATTGGCTGCCTAAATAATGTATGGGTTTCAACTTGTCTCACATTGGGAAGGGTGAATTTAACACGTTTTATTCTGATAACGACCCCGTAGGCTGTCACTGGCGCCGGCGTTCGCAGCGCATTGCGGCTCAGAGGAGTTCTGGGATCAAATGAGCCGGTGGGCGAGGGTGCGCGTGGCGGGCGCGGGCGCGGCGCGGGCCGGCCGCCGCCTGCTCGTGCGCCTGGCGCCGCGCGCGCGCACCCTGCCGCCCTGCGCGAGCGCCACTCGCTGGCCTCGTTTCTATGGCAACACGAGTTTGCTGCGACTCTGCATGTTTTCACAAAAGTAACTTACAAATATAAAGCGTAAATATTTCATTAGTGCACATCTGTGTACTACCGTTCTAGAATTCGTTCACATTCAATCGTCAAAGGCGTTGATCGTATGCAAAACTAAAAATTTACTCATACATATTATGGGTATAGAAAAAGAAACTTCGTGTATTATAAATTCTTATACGACCAAAAATAAACGTTATCCTGTAATATGTAATTTGATTAAACAAATGAAATTTTATATAGTACTTACTAGCGTGTAATTACACGGGTAAAACCGTGACTTCGTCCGCGTAACTGAAATATGTATATTGATCAGGATGAACAGTAGCCTATATCCTTCTCCATCCCGTTTAGTTCATGTATACCGAATTTCATAGCGATTAGTTAACGTTGGCCGTTGGCGCTATGAGGTAATAAACAAACAGGGAGGGAAGGGATTGTTAGTAATGGGGATTAGCAACCCCATTGCTAGTTATAAACTCTATCAGGTCGACCTCCTTGCGGTTTCCCTAGAAAACATTATGATTGGTTTATTGTTGCATTTGTCACGATGGGCTAACTGGCCTGCTCCATCCTCATCTATCATCCCTTACTGGTGCTCCGCCAGTGTACACCAATAGCGCAGGCGGGGCGGTAAGGTTCGTCAAAATGAACTCTTATATGGGAACTAAATGCCTGAAATTAATTAATCCTAATTCAGTTTAATTTATTATGCGATATTAATTTTTTTATTGCTTTCCAGCTATGGATCTGAATCTGCAGTCCTATATGCTCCACCCGAATGGAATATCACTGCGTTACATGAAAGAACTATCGTCGGATCCCGGCTCACCGTCCGCCTACTCGATTCAAACGCAGAACCACGCCATCAACTAGTCCGTTTACTACAAGGAAACACTTCATTCCTTTTCTTGGATTATAATATATGGGGAGACGTGCCAAGTGTACGAAGTGTACGAGCCGTAACATCTGAACGAACATTCTGTGAGAGCTCTTTGGAATCCGATTGCTCTTTCCGGTTAGCTACGAATACATTGCAAAAATTTGCTCCTCCCCTGTATAATGTAATGCAACGCTTCAATCCACTCGCAAGCGATCTGCGAAAAGTACTTGAACTCGAAACACGTAGTGCTAATATTACGGAAGCCGCCTGCGCCTGGGCTCTAAGCGACAGTGATAGATTTAAAAGTTGGTTCCGAGAGTACCCGCCGGCATACAGAGCGGTCGTATTCTTATGCAAGAACGAGGAGTACGATGATGCCGTTTTAAAAATCACAAAAATAATGGAACGCCGTATGACCCGTTTTCGTCTAGAAGTTTGGAAATATTATATAAAATGTGAGAGCGAATATGATTCGATGCGACTCCTGCAGCAGCTGAACCGGAGCTTGGAGTGGTCCAGGACGCTGGGCGTGCTAGCGGCGGGCGAAGGCGTGGCGGCCGCCGCACAATTCGCCGCCGCCGCGGACGTCGCGCTAGTGTGCTACGACACGGCGCCGCCTGCCGCGCTCGGGCGCCACGCGCGCGGCCTCGGCGCCCACCCGCGCCACCTCCTCGCCGCACTGCAGCGGCTCCTCGCCGACTGCCGTTGGAAACGTCTAGGCGTACTCTCGGAGGACTCGCACCTCGCTCGTAGTTTAATCGATGGTTTAGTCGCGAACAGTGACTTGTTACTTTATAATATCCCTATTAAGCACGATACTCTTGAATATTCGTTAGACTCGCTGCGCGAAGCCAACGCTCGCATCATTTTCTTAAATACTGATGTCAAGAAGTCGTTGTCGATTGTATGCGAGGCATTTGTAAGAGACATGACGCGAGACTCTGGGTATATTTGGATACTACGAGAGTGGTATGGAGACCGAGTACCTAAGGAAATGGAGCGAACGTGTTACGATCGAATGACCCTCTACACGATATCATTTTGGTGGCGTGGAGGAGACTTGAACTCAAAACGAATGAACAGCAGCGACGAGGCGATGCGTCTAGCTCTTGACGACTTGTGGCCACATAGGCCATGGCCGCGGCTCGCTGCGCCTTTAGCCGACGGATTGATTTTGCTGCTGAACAGCTTCAATAATTTCATTGAAAAATATCCCTCACATCAATACGATCTGCACGCTCGTAACGTTACTCAGTATGTAGTTTCAAATTAACTGAAATTTACTGTTATATAGGTATATTTGTTCTACATGTGCTATATTCCTGATGAGAGATTACAGAAAAAACATTTTTAGCATGTTATTAAACTGCATTTAACCTTTCTTATCACTGCACACTATATTCATTCAACCACTTTCATCATTATCATATCAGCCATAAACTGTCCACTACTGAACATGGACCTCCCAGTAATGGAAGGACTTTACCAGTAATTTTGCCGCGCTTGGCACGGATTGGCAAATGCAGTTAATTTTGGTGATGATCTTTCGACCATTAAATTCCCTCCGTCACCTGTTACGACACTCACAGGGAAGGATTTCACTATTGTAACTATATATAATTATAGATATTAAATTATATTGAGAATTACTTATTCCGATATTTTTCTTGTATATTTCAGTCTAATTTGGGAGAGCCTTAAAGGATCAGTGCTCGGTGTAACGCAAAATTTATATGCGAATCAGTACGCGGCTGCCGAACCGATAATTTTTGTGGAAGAATGGCGGGGTACAGAGCGACTCCCGCTGGCTGTATGCGATATCAACAGCTGCTCTTACATGACACGTTCTATGTGCCCCTCATATGAACCTCCTGATGGACCTCGTCCCTGTCTTACAAACAACTCGGAATATAACTTTGTACAACACTGTAATGATTTATTTTGGATCATATCTGTAATCATTATCATACTATCAATGACATGTATCTACGTAGCGCGACATCTTAGAATGAAAAATTTTAAGAATCGCAATCATAAGAATATAGACGGCCTGTCAGCATCAGGCGAACGCGCAGCGGCCAAACTCGCTGACCATCTTGTAGACAGGACTGCTTTGGAATTTCATCAAGAGATTGGCGCCGGTCGATTCGGGAGAGTACGATTTGCAATACTTCGTGCACCAAATCGTCCAATCCTACCTGTTGCCGTTAAGTCGCTACGAGACGATGCAGCGCCCGCCGAAGAAATTGAGTTTTTGGGTGAAGCGTGCACTCTTGCTTCACTTCGACACGAACATATCGTACGACTAATTGGAGTATGCGCCACAGGTGGACCTCCGTTGTTGCTTATGGAATATGTGTTTTTTGGTGACCTACGGGGATATTTGCGTGAGCGCCGTCATCTCGTCGAGTACGTCGACGGTGAGATTCCCGAAGAGGCCATGCATGTATCATCATATGCGCTCACGAAACTAGCTCGAGAAGCATCTTTGGCTCTCGCATACTTAACAAAACGACAATTAGTGCACCGCGATGTACGAGCTTCTAACTGCCTAATTGATGCTCGGCGATCACTAAAACTAGCAGACTTCGGAATGGCTCGAGAGACAATGGAATACGACGGAGCCGCAGAGTATGCATGTCGACGTCGAGGATTCTTTCCTGCGCTATGGATGGCGCCAGAAAGCTTAGATAGAGGTGTGTTTTCCCCTGCGACTGATGTTTGGGCACTCGGCGTATTAATGCTAGAAATGGTGACATTAGGTGAACGTCCCTACGGTACGTGGTCACCTTTGCGCGTATTACGATACGTCAGCGCAGGAGGACGGCCACCACTCCCTCCAAATGCCTCTTTAAAAACGTTAGTTATTATTTCACAATCATTTTTTATCTAATACCAAAACACCTACAGTAGAATGAGTAACATAACAACTGTTGGATATTACAGACGCGGCGTGCTACTCTCTTGCTGGCGACGTGCGCCCGAGCAGCGGCCTACGTCATCCAAAACTGCCGCTTATCTGGACGCTAACCCACTTGCGCTATCACCTACTCTGGGAATGACGCCATGATTTCCTGAACCCTCAAACGATTCCAAGGCGACATTGATATGTTTTTTTTTATTTTATTTTTTATTGAGATTAAAAAAACGATAATGTGTTACCCGCTGCAATATTTTGTCCGTTTACTAAAAAAAGTATGAATCAATTCATATTCATGACTCACCTCTTCCTCTTGCTACACAATGAAAAAGAATACGACGTGAAGCTGTTACACATATATTTAAAAAATTTAATAGATGCGATTGGCGTTTTTGTGACTTATCTAAAGCCTTAGATGTGTAATGGTGATATTAGTCAATCCTAAGATTGACTAATATCACCATTGAATATAAATATTGGGTAGCCAATTGATTGATAGCAATGGACTGGTCGCCTGCGACTATTACTTAAACTATTAGTCAATCGTGGCAAGGGAAAAAATATACTATTTTGCTAATCTAGCAGAAGATGTTTAGACACCGTGCTCACACTAATATAATTAAGTAACTACTAAGAATAATTTTCAGTCTTGTGCTTTTTCTCGTTATAAAAAAAAAAACACTATAATACTACATAATCGTATCCTTTATAAAACGCTCAATAATATTCATCTCCTCTATTTAGATATGTATGAAAAGTGTTACTAAGTATACTACATACTGACCGACTGGCAAGGCCCTACCTTAAAATAAAAGACCCCAAGAAAATTAGACAGATTGGATTTTTCAATTCGAGTTCGGGCTCACACGGCCTCTCCTTTCCAATGCCACTCCATGGAATCTCTTTTAGATGTCAGATTATAGTAAAAGACCATAGTTTCATCACTCATTACAATTGATTGAGTAACACCTTCTTGATCCGCGCAGCAAAGGTCCAAAAAATTACTCACAACATTGTACTCGACATTGCTTTTGCATTGCACTGAGAATTCGAAGCACCCACCTTTCATTAATTTTTGTAATATTTAAATTTAAATTAAATTTAAATTTAAATTAAATTTAAATTAAATTTAAATTTAGGCGCCGGTCTCGTAGAACAATTTTTTTTCCATTAATTTAATGTTATCTGGAGTAGTCACCGTCACAGGACCTCCCGTGGTAGCACGTGGATCATCTTGTAATGATTCTCGTCCCCTGCAAAACAACTCAGACCAATTTTAATTGTTATAAACAGCTTCCATTCTGTTTTTGATTTGTGATACATTTTAATTGAAATATATTTATTATTGTTATTCAATACTCGTAATATTCAATTTTATTTAATGCTTTTTCTATGATTATACTTAATTTCAGACATAATGTACATTGTTTTTTAAATAGATAGATCGATAATTCATTTGCATTACTTAGAGCACACAAATTACAATATATATATATATATATATATATAATTAAGGACTAGAGTGCTGGTATTAACGCTTTAGTCAACAATTTTATAAACATGTCAAGAATTACAAATTATTTAGATATCCATTATGTATCTACTTATATGCTTTACGTCAGTTGCCGTGTCTAATAGATTAAGAATAATTTTTGCTGACTTTTCTATGTCATTTCTAATTTTTTGTGAGAATCTACATATTGTGTAAATCATAGAACGGGGTGAATATGAATAACTTGAAACAATATTTTTAATTTCATTTTTCAAGTTAACCTATCTGAATTTGATTTATATTACAATAATTTGATTGATTGATCTACATTTGATAATTAAGCAACAGTACAAAAATCGGCATACAATCCGAAATCATAATCTTTATAATTTTGTTAAATATTATCCTTAAAATCTAAAATGTACTTTTTCTCTCCAAAGTTGGGGTGAATAGAAACGAGAGGGGTCACTTCTATAAGTTTAAGTACGTCAGTAGATACTCTTATTTATTAATCTTATATTGGGCATTTAAACTTTAGGCGGTTTCTCTTCACTCCTTAGCGCTTCCATCGCTCTATTTTTTCATTTCTGTCAACTTCTTTAAAATTTCTATTTACCCCACTTCTTACAAAATTTTAAACAGTATCGATTATTTATTTATTTTAAACAATTATTACAACCCACCTTTTATATATTTTGGAAATGCAAGTGTATTCTACGCTTCGAAATATATTTACTGTGAGAAACAAACTACAACTTAATAAAATATAAAGAATGTAAAAATACGTTAAGATTTTACATTTTCACATTTTCACGCTATTATTCCAAAATAAGTTTTCAGATAGATTGAAATATATTTGATAATTGTTAATTATTGCCATAAAAAATAAAAAATAATTATTTTATAAACAAAATTTTTATTTCCAATTTTTTACAGTTCGTATGTCAATTAGTCATGTCAATGTCACACGATTACACACTGATTCGACTCTCTAATCTGTGTTAGGTACTTGCTCTGTGGTAAATGATCATTTATATTGTATTTCTTTATTGTCACGTCAAATAAACAATTATATTGTATATTTCTTTGTTTTCTATTGATAACGCGAACTATCATAAAAAATATATGAAATACACTTTTTATTTCAATGAGTGTCTATTCGTTAATTTGTTATTGTTAATGAAGCACAAATAAATTACTATTATGGGTTTATTTAGTACCTCTTCGCCGTTTGACCAAGATGTCGGTACGTAATATTTTTTTTTCTATTTGTATATTGTAGGTATCACGAAATCAATGACAAACTAATTAGTCAATAAAAGTTATCTTAAAGATTATAAAAACTCTAAATTAACAAAATTTTGTGACGGATTAAGTAGGCGCCAGGTAATGACCTATTATCAGTACCGACTGTTGTCGTGTAAAGCTGTCTATCGATGACTTCAATGAGTCATTTAAACGCTAAATTATTAACAATAATAGTCCTCAGCAGTGGATCCTATTGTAAATCTGTAGGTCACTATCGGCGAGAAGTGAAGTGATTCATTGCTACCGTAATTTAATCATTTATGTACTTCAATATTTATGATAGGTTGAAATGTAAGGATATTCGATACGCTGTCACTGAGACCGAACGTGATTCATCATCTTACATTCCAATCGAATATTATATAAAGACTTTACATTAGTATTTTACATAATATTGTTGATGTACTATGTCAATATGTGTAATTTATTGAAGAGAGGCCTATGAAATTCAAAATGGGAATTGTAAACACATTGCACCATGTTGTTCCGTCGTAATCAGGACGTGGTGCAATTCGCGTCGAAATGTCACCACTAAAGTAGCAGGTACGAGGTCTGTCCGGAAAGTTCGTATAAAAGTGTTCTGGAATGCGAGAAAGAGGAGTGGGGAGGCCAGGTAAGCGCAGGACCCCTTCCTTATGTCCCTAACAATGCTTCAGTTCTGGTCTGACCGCCAGTGGTGCGAATTATTGCTTGTCACGCCATCTGTGAAAAAAAGTTATTTCTCCTTAACGAAACCCCGTCGGCATGGAGCCCGCTAATTTTGAAGAGCAGCGCGTCGTAATCAAGTTTCTCTCGAAACTCGGCAAGAATGGCCGTGAAATTTTTGCCGATCTAATTCGATAAGACATCCGGGGAACCACGAACAAAAAAATCAAGAAAATCCCGCTCAAATGTCAAGACAATGTTGATTGTTTTTTTCGATGTTCGGGGGATTGTCCATCAAGAATTCGTCCCTCCAGGCCAGACAGTTGATGGAAAATCTACGTCGATGTGCTCAGACGCCTCAAAGCTCGTGTGGCACGAGTTCGTCCAGAATTGGCGCGAGAGGGGCGTGGGATTCTTCACCACGACAATGCCCCTGCCCACACCTCTCTTGTTGTCCGTGTGTTTTTGAGTAAAAATTCCATTACGGTGACCGAACACCCCCCCCCCCCCCCTATTCGCCGGATTTGGCCCCGTGTGACTTCTTCTTGTTCCCAAAAACCAAATTGGTACTTCATCTCTAAAGGCTGTGGAAATTTCATTTGGGGGACATAAATGAGATAAAAAAAGCTTCGACGGGGCAGCTGAGAAACCTACAACCAGAGGACTTTCAAGGAGCCTTCTCACAGTGGAAACGGCGTTGGCACAAGTGCATTATGTCACAGGGGGAGTACTTTGAAGGGGATAAAATTGATTTACCTGAATAATTGTAAAATAAAATTTTTAAAAAACTTATATAATATATTATATATAGGCGTACTTTCCAACAGGACAAACCATCGTATGTAGGTACTATTTTACCGGCGAAAATTTTTCATTGCATTAAGTCCTGATAGTGTATAAATACTGTTATTATTTTTAATTTAAATTTGTTCTGCATCAGGCTCAGCCTAGTGTAGGAATCAATGATAAATTCTGTGCTTATTCAAACATACTTTGTTAAATAAATATATATTTATCTTATCTTTATTATAATAAATTGTCATACAGTCTCAATTTTATAATTGTATGCCTCTACTGAGAAACAGTACAATTCACATTTGCTACTATTCAGGAGAATAAAAATCTATTTTATTATTTAAACAATTCTAGTGTTTATTGGTCGAGGGGTGGAGAGTAGTATCCCTGTTAAAACATCACTGAATGTCTAACTACAGTTGCAAACCTGGCTGCCATGTGTAACAGCTATTGGCGAAACCCTCTTACAGAGGGAGGTCTATGTTCAGCAGTGAACAGTTAACAGCTGTTGATGCTGACGATGATTAGAAAATCTTGACCTTCTCTTTCAAGTTATTTTTGGTGTTATATATATTGGAAATTTCTCTATAGTCAAGTGTTTTGTTTCACTAAAGTCTATGAATCACATAATTATATTAGTAAGTGTTAACATATTCTCTACATTTTCAATCAGTTGGGATAATTATAAAAATATGTATATAAAGCAGAAAGAAAAAAAAAATAAATAAATGAACAATATGATAATATGACAATTACTCCATGTCACAAAGAACATTTTTTCATAAAATTAAGAAAAAAAAAAATACAAGAAAGGTGTGTTGAGCACAATTTTCTGTCTAATATTTTCTTGTACTTGTTTTTCATCTAAAATAGAGCTAGTAATGCAGAAAGTAGTAGCTGATTTTTTCATAACTGCATGCACAACATACTAGGCAAGCATCCATTGACTATAGTGACTATTTAATATCAGATTGGTTGTATGTTTGTTTGTCACTTTCGGGATATAAAAAGAACTATTATATTCAGTTAATAAAAAAAAATACATGTGGGTTTACATACATTACACACATAGATACAAGAAAGGGAATATAATTTGTAAATAAATATTTAGCTCGCAAGTGTTATACATGCCAATTCAAAATTAAGTTTTATTCTATATATCATCGTCATGTGTCGTCTGATAATCATTACACCATCGCGATAGCATCTCAAAATCGGTTTCTACTTATACGTATTTTAGTACTATTTCGAACTGAATGTAATATTCCGTCACCAAATACTTCCCTCCGGCGAGACTAACGCGGGTCAATGACCGCAGAGCGCGCCACGAACGAGAACAGCACGAGCGAGGAGTGGGGGCTGATCCTGGAGATCTGCGACCGCGCGGGAGCGTCGGCGGCGGCGGCGCGCGACTGCCTGCGGGCCGTGCTGCGCCGCCTCGCGCACAACGACCCGCACGTGCAGCTGCTGGCCGCCACGCTGCTCGACGCCTGCGTCGCCAACTGCGGCCGCCTCTTCCACCTCGAGGTGGCGTCGCGCGACTTCGAGACCGAGTTCCGCCGCCTGCTGGCGCGCGCGCAGCCGCCCGTGGCGCAGCGCCTGCGCGCGCTGCTGCGCAAGTGGGCCGAGGGCGACTTCCGCGCCGACCCGCAGCTCGACCTCATCCCCTCGCTGCACGCCAAGCTGCGCGCCGAGGCCGCCGAACCCGCGCCCGCGCCCGCGCCCGCTGCCGCCGCCGCCGCGCAGCGCGAGCAGGACGAGCTGGCGCGCGCGATCGCGCTGTCGCTGCGCGAGTCGGGCCCGCCGGCGGCGCCGAGCGGCGGCGCGAGCGGCGGCGGGGGCGGCGGCGGCGGCGGCGGCGGCGGCGGCGGCGGCGGCGGCGGCTCGGCGCTGTACCCGCGCGTCGAGCCCGCGGAGGCCGCCCCGCCGCGCAAAGTACGAGCGCTGTACGACTTCGAGGCGGCCGAGGATAACGAGCTGACGTTCCTGGCCGGGGAGATAGGTACTCGGATAGTTTTTGTCGTTTTCGTTTGTCCGTTACAGTCGCTTCGTACGAGTCACCAAGTAATTTCTACTAAAAGATTCGTCTGGAACTCGTCGTACATTTATTTACAATATGAGTACAATGGGGGAACAGACTGTTAGTATTGAGATCTAGCTGACCCATTGCTAGCAATACACACTATCAGATAAACCTCCGTGCAGTTCCTCCTGGAAACCATCATGGTTAATTCTAGTGAAATTCGTCATAATGAGCTAACTAACCTACTTTCATCGCCACTTACGCTACTGCTCACTAATACTATAGTAAGGAACCGTTTCGATTGCAGTTCACGTGACTGACTCCAGCGATCCCAACTGGTGGAAAGGCTACAACGATCGTGGCGAGGGATTGTTTCCAGCTAATTTTGTGACATCTGATTTGACGGAGCCACGCCCTGGTAATTTATCATTGCTTTCTTTTATTTATTTTTTTTTTTTTTTTTTTTTTATTATTTATTTATAGTTGTGGGAGATTTGTTCCATATGAAAAACTATACAAAATAATTCTTCTGCTACGACTTTGTCTACCTATTTATCATTACTACGCTATCTTCGCATTTATTAACATACGCATCTACGCGTACACACGTACGCACACATACGCATATGCATGGGCACTTTACACATGCACTCAGATGTTTCACATACGCGCACGTAAAAAAAAATATTTTTTTTATTTCTAATAATTTATAGTTGTGCAGATTAGTGTTCCATATCAAAAACTATACAAAATAATTCTTCTGCTACGACTTTGTCTACCTATTTATCATTACTACGCTATCTTCGCATTTATTAACATACGCACACACACACACGTACACACACACACACACACACACACACACACACACACACACACACACACACACACACACACACACACACTTGCACACTTAAACACGCACGTACGGATGCACTCATATACCCACACGCATTCTCACACACGCACGCGCACTCGCACACATTATATACGTATGCGCCTCACGCACACACACACACACACACACACACGCGCATACAAATACGTTCGCACACTCATGTACACACACGCACACACACGCACAGACACACATGATATGCATTCACACACACACACACGCATGCGCACATCACATACACAGGCATACGAACGCACGCACGCTTGCGCTAGATGCATACATTCAAAGCACTTACACGTACGCACGCACAGATACGCACATTCTCATCCGTTCTTGGATTTTATTATCATTAGAATAATTAGAATTATAATGTATAGTTAACGTGTTGTGGAGAAATTTTAAGTTGGATAAGTAGAATGTAGTAATTTGTACGGTGTCGTTCCGTATTCAGAGGAGGCGCGAGGCAGCGCCGCGGCGGGCGGCGGCGCGGCGGCGAGCGGCGCGGCGGACGAGGCGGCGGCGCTCGACGAGGCGGCCATGGACGAGGCGCTGGCGCTGCTGCACGAGGCGGACCCGGAGGCGGCGGCGGGCGCGGCGGACGCGGCGCTGCGGCGGCTGGAGGCGCGCGTGCACGCCATGGGCCCGCTCGTGGACGCGGCGCTCGAGCGCGCCGACCGCCGCCACGCGCGCCTCACGCAGCTCAGCGCCGACCTGGTGGACGCGCTCAACCTCTACCACGAGCTGATGCGCGCGCCGCCGCCGCCGCCGCCCGCGGCCGCGCCCGTCTACCCGCCGCGCTGCTGATCGACACGCTCGCGTCCTGCGCCGCACATACCTAGTTCACTTCTACTATCCCTGAGGCTTAGAACGTGGCGACCGACGACATTTTATTTTCCCTCTCTGACATACCGTATCCCCGAAACGGCACGCTGTAAATATACCCAACGACCGACGGACGCGGGCCGCCCGGCCCGCACCGTTCCGGACATGTGTTCCGCGGCCGGGCCGCGCCGCCCGTCGCGGGAGCTGGCCAGCGAGCGTACAGATAAAATGTGGCTCGATCGCGTGTAGTTTTAATTCTTGAAACGATCGATAGGGAAGAAATCGATCCGAGACGCGACAGACTCTTGTCAAATTAACAGAAATCTACACCTGGGAGATAAAAATATAAAGTATGATGATGAAGAGTACCTATGTTAATGTAGTTGTTGATAATATATAATCTGTTACTTTTTTTTTTTTCATTTGTATGTGGTGTAATAAATTATAATATAAGTAAACATTCGATTCTTCCGTTGTTTTATTTTCTAAACACACACATCAAAAAAGTCTAAGCGACACATACTATTTCATAAAAACACTAGGAGAAGTAAAACCAAAGGTATTGATCTCAGTAAGCTAAAAACAAATGGGGATAATAAAGTGCAATATAGAAAAAAGCTAAAAAATAGATTAAGAAATTATATGGAAATATGGTAATAATATGGAAAATAATAACAATTCTAAAAAAAATATTAATGATAGATGGTGCAATATTAGAGATAGTATAAGATTGAGTGTAGAGGTAAGCTTTAAAAAAGAAAAAAATAAAACCAAGAAAAAAATGATTAACTACTGAAATAATAAATTTAATGGACACTCGAAGGAAACTACGCAACAAATATGATGAAAACAGTATGGCAGAATATCGTAAATTATCAAATAAAATAACACTTAAATGTAGACAACAAAAAGAAAAGGATATAGAAAAAGACTATGAGTATACCAACATAGGGAAATCAAATATAGCGTATATCATCAAAAATCTATAATATTATTGTCTATAATAAAATTGGAAGAAGTGTTGCATAGATGAGAAAGGTATATAGAAGAATTATATAAGGGAAGTGGGCTAGAGGCAATAAATACTGAACAGGAAATAAATGTACATCCACACAACTTAGGACCAGAAATAGCAAACTCCTATTAGACATGAAATGAGGCACACAGAACTGTAAGTGTTATTGTGGAAATTTATTTATATAATAATAAAATAACTAATAATTTTATAATGCTGTTTCTTTATTCACTTATTTTCCACAGACAATATCTATATATTATTTTTATTACCATAGACTGAGAGTAAGTAAAAGCATAAACTTATACATTCTTAACACTTCGCCTCGATTTGATAACGTGAAGCATCTCAAATCGGTTAACAAAATATTTACTTATCTCTAGCTTACAATAAAGTTATTAGATACTTTCTATACATGTTATGAGAATGTGAAGCATTCTCAATTCTCAAGTTTAACAAATTTATTTATATAATAGTAAACCTATTTAGAAAGATTTTTTTTTTTTTTTTTAAACAATTAAACAAAATATTGTTAGGCATCTCAAATAATCATAAAAACTTACATAGTAACTTAATCACTAATACAGTATGCTTTATATACTGTTAGTGTTTGTTTAATCAGTTAAAAAGAATAA